AGAAGAAGAAGAAGAAGAAGAAGAAGAAGAAGAAGAAGAAGAAGAAGCTGTTTTTCCAAATCTCAGTCTGAATCTATATACTTTTGAGTTTGGTCTGGCTGTTTCTGCAATGACCTGGATGGAACTGGATAATTTCTGAAATGCCAGACCAAACTTACAAAATTAATGAATGACTGGATATTTTAGGCAAATACACATTTTATTTATGGCTTGTGCTGGATTATAACAATTACATAATCCTATAGTGTAAGTGAATCAGTTTAGTGTAGCGATGAAGGCATCAGACTAGAAACCAGGAGACTGTGAGTTCTAGTCCTGCCTTGGGCGTAAAGCCAGGTGGGTGATCGTGGGCCAATCACTCTCTTTCAGCCATAAGAAGCAGGCAATGGCAAACCACTTCCAAACACTTCCACTTCCATGAAAATTGCAGGAAGTTATCCAGGTAAATTGCCAGGAATCAACATAGACTCAAAGGTACCCTAAAGAAATAAACAAACAAATGATAGTCAAAGGATTGATAAGCTTCTCAGGAAGTTAGAAAGCTATTTGTTGGTGTTCCTATAATTCTGGATTTCCCGAATTTAGCAGTATCACATGCATGTATGCATGTATGCAATAGAGTAGTCAATGTCTGGAATACTCTACCCGACTCTGTAGTCTCTTCCCCAAACCCCAAAAACTTTAACCTTAGACTGTCTACCATTGACCTCACCCCTTTCCTAAGAGGTCTGTAGGGGGCGTGCATAAGCGCACCAACGTGCCTACCGTCCCTGTCCTATTGTTTCTCTATTCTTTTATTTTTCTCATATGTACCCATCTCATGTATTCACAACTATGTATACACTTATACTTATTATCTTGTAAACAATTGACAAATCAAATAAATAAATAAATAAAAAAATATATACCATAACCAAAGCTAAGTTACTGAGTCACATGCTCAGCATCTAATATCTCATAAATGGGCTTCCATCATTTGCTACTACTGTATTTGTAATAACTTTGTAAGGTCTTAGCCTTTACTTTACACATCTGGGATCTATGTGTGAAGCACTTCTGGTGTTCTCTGTTACTCTAGAGATTTGTTTTGGCTTCTAGAGCACATTACAAGCTGCTTATCATGGGCTGTCAGAGCCAGGATGTGTAAAAAAAATCCCTTAACTGAATCAATATGATATATGGCTACATATGAAAAGGAGAGCATTAATAATGTATTGTCAGCATGCATACCAGACATAAACACAGATTTCACTTCTGACCTTTGCTCTAAGAACAACTGGGGTGGAAAACAGCTTTTTCATTTACTTGGTGGTTGCATTCGCTTTATTAGAAAGTGTTTTTTTTTTTTTTTTTTTAAAAATTAAACTCACAGAAATATGCGGTTGCCCACAAGAAGCATAGGGCAAGTGTCATTAGAACATTATTAGTTGTTAAAGGCTTGGGGCTCATTAAATATTCAGTGGCTTTTAAATCTGTTTGCCCTGTTGCATCTATAGCTGCAAACCCATTCAGTGGGTTTTATGGCACACTCTTTAAAAAATTAATGAAAATGGCCACCGTAAAACATATTTTTTTTCTTTTATTGAGATTTCTCTAGGATTTATGTTTTCCCCCTGCCGTAAGAAATGTAAAAGCCTACAAGTCAGTGAAGCAATTTCCTTCTTATTAGCCTGTTATATTAAATAATGTAGCTCAATAACAGAAATGTAACATGACTGTTAAGATTATATACACCTAACAAGGGGTGGGATGGCGAGAAAAAAAAACACAATTATATTGAAAATACTTCATAGCAATAGCACTTAGACTTATATGCCGCTTTACATTGCTTTACAAGCTCTCTCTAAGTGGTTTAGAATCAGCATATTGTCCCCAGCAATTTGGGTCCTCATTTTTACCCACCTCAGTAAAAGGAAAGAAGGCTGAGTCACCCTTGAGCCTGGTAAGATTTGAACTGCCAAATTGCAGGCAGCCAGCAGTCAGTAGCCTACACAGTACTACACTCTAACCACTGCACCACCATAGCTCATAATGACTGATTGACCAACTTAGCCAACTTAATATCAGATTTTTTTTTTTAAATTTCTGTACCTTTCATTTCTATGAAATGACTTGCTGGAGATGAACCTTCTATCTTTATGACAAAACAAAAAATAAGAGCTCCTCGAGTCTAAAACCTAATTACAAATTATAACCCTTGCGCGATTCTTATGCTTTCATCTCTAGCTGGCTTTGATCTCAAGTCTGGAGGTTGTGACATTTCACAAAGATTGAGGCTCACTATATACAAAATATGGATTTTGTTAGGCCCATCTCATCAAGGGCTTCCAGCTGAATTAAAGGTAGAAAGAAACACGGGGAGATGCTGGCATAACAACCACCTGCCTCACTCAGTTGGCAAGAAAACTGTAAAGGGGCAACAGGGACTGGGGTGTCCTAAAGTGCTTTTTTTCCAAAAGGTAATTGGACTGAACTGAATAAGGGTCTTGGATGAGAAGCAAAGTATTTTCAAAAAACCAAGGAAGTCCAGTTGCCTTCTGGAAAAAAAAGCACCTCTGGGGCCACCATGACCTGGATGACTGGGAATCTCCATAGACAGGAATTGAGCTATTCATCCCCCCCCACACACACACACCACACACACATATACACAGACAAGAAAAAGCCAATTATGGGAGCTCTGGTTGGGGATGGCAAAAGTGGACAGGATCATACCACTGCAATCATTGCACTGTTCCTTCCTTCCACCATTCTCATGCTAATGGGTGGGACTCCTACACTCCTTAAATGTGCATCTTTCAGCCTGTTGTAAGTTACACTCGTATTGCAAAAAAGAAAAGAAAAGGGGCTACCTGTTTATAATATAAATCTCTTCCCCCTGCTTACTAGTTCATTCATGCTCACTTTAGGGCCACGGTGACAATAAACACTGCCTGCTTTTGTAGAGTGCCTAAGAAAGACAGCGAGGAGAGCGTTGCTGCATACTAATTGACACATTTTAATGACTGCCTTCTCTTACTCCCTCTTTGCTCATCCCCTTCTCTAAATTGCTGCTTTCAAGCATGTGCGACTCGCAACCATGGAAACCAAGTCTCTAAATGCACAAAACCCACCACATCAACCTTTGGAACATACTGCTGGTGAATTTCCAAAAGATACAATAGATGGGGAGATGGCCACGAGGAGAATGATTGCCTCTACAGGCATGGTGCTCTAATCCTGACAGATTTATTTTCTAGAGGATAAAAGCTTGCACATGCATTCTACTAATAAACACTATTTAGCACTGAATGCAGTATGTAGCATCCCAGCAACCATTCACCAATAAATTACAGTACATCCCCTCCCGCACATCAGAGTTCAAACACAGCAGCTAACTTGCCTCCTGTTCTTATATCATGGTAGCAAAATCCCTCTCCCTTCTTTTTCTTTTTTATCTTTTTGAGTCAGTCTTGAAATGGCATCAAACTCCAGGTGCAGACATGAGAAAACATTGATATCCCAGCAATGCTACTCCTTGAATTGTGGAACTTCTCTTGGTACTTTTGGCATTGAATACTAGCATGAAGTATCCAAGGCTTATTTTAATTCATTGAGAGATTATATTCTGCTGTTTTAAAGGTCAGGTTACTTAAAAGTACACCCTATACTTTCATTTATCTCTATTTTTCTGTACATAGCAGTTTCCTTATTAATGGAGCTCTGAAGTCATAAAATCACAGAATTTTTTAGAATGAAACTTGGAAGTACAGCCTCCTGCTCAGTATAGGATCTGAAACTATTATGTTTGACCAATAGAGCAAAATTGACGAAGTTTATCAGTGAAAAGTAAATATAGATTTAATCCAACAGTTAAACATAACATGTATGTGTAGTCGGTGCAATATTATTTTTATAAATCT